AACTCGCCTTTAGCCTTCGGCTGCGTGGCGGGGTCGCAGTGCGGAGTCCCCACGTCTCTCCCGCTCGGGGAGTGAGGGGATCCCTGTGTTTGTGTTTCGGTGCTCAGAGAGGCTCTGCCGTGGATTTGCGGAGGAGCGGACGATGCGGGGCCGCTGCGGTTCGTGAGGCTTTAGCTGAGCGCGGTGCCACAGCCGCCAGGTGCACGGAGCCTTCTCCGTTTCACACACGGACACTGTGGGGACGCTGCTGTTCCGCATGTAACAAAGTGTATTTCGCCACTTGGAATTAGCTTCCAATTATTTGCCATTCATTTGCAGAAAGAGCAGCACTACTCTGAGCAACACTCTTCCCTGATCAACAAGGCCTACCAGACTCTGCTGAACCCTCTGAGCCGAGGCCTCTATCTAGTAAGGTCCCCGTCAGGAATTGCAGTGTTCTGTAACTAACCCTGGGGGCTGGTAGGGATCCCACCCTCCATTCAGTCCTTAATGTGCTAATTTGTGCTAATTCCCCTGAAGAGGATCACCAGAGAAATAAGGGAGACCAGAACCAAGTTTGTCCAAAATTTAATCAGCATATTATCCCATTTACTACTCATCTTACAGTAATTTCACATCACACGTGGTGTTTGGCCCTGGCTGCTCATTCAGAATTTCAGTCTGGCCCATTGCAGCCTTTTTTATGCTTTTTTTTGTTTATGATCAGCCTATGTATAGTGTTAATTTTCAGACTGACTCAATGCACTGTAGGTTTATCGAATATGAATCTGAGTATGCCCCACTAAGAGACTTAATATTAAAGAAAATAATTTCCATAGGAATGGATGTGAGAATATTTATTTTCAAATTCCCATTTCCTCTGCCAGCTGGAGCTGAAGGGAGTGGAGCCAGCAAAAGAGACAGACTGTGATGCAGACTCAGCGTTCCTTATGGAAGTCATGGAAATTAATGAGAAATTAGCAGAGTCCAAAAACAAGGACCTCGAAGAAGTTGAAACTTCCATTAAAGGTAGGTTATGACTTGAGGAATTTGTACAGAACTAATGCACTGAATCTGTGTAATACATGAGTCTGAAAGCTTTAAACTGTGTTGGTATTTTTCTTGTAATGTCTTCAATTTGTGTTAGTCTGGAATTGACTCACTGCAGGATCTTGTGTCCTGTTCCCCTCTTTTCCAATGTTGTCTTTACCTATTTATGCACCTAAATGTCACATTTGTCTTGAGAACATTTGTATAACAGAACCTATTCTGATGTCACAATAAATGTATATAGACAATAAAAAGGAATTTACTCAACCTTCATCAGTTTAGTCAATTGTTCCAAAAAAAACCCTGTCAGAATGAAGTTGAATAAAATGCTTGTCCAACCACACTAAATAATGTTATTTATAAAGGCATTGTAGTTTTTCACCTTCTTCATCTGGCAGCCATTATATTAAGTGGTTCTTCTCCTTACACAAGCAACTTTCTTTTTATATTGTTGGTGATACCAAAAACATTTGGTTTACTGATATATTTAATTCTTTTCAGTAACAGCTATGTGCTAAAAGCATTTACAATAACTAGAATAAAAACTGAGTAGCACAGGAGAAAGTTAACTGTAGCAGGGTAAACTCAGACACCAAAAATACGTTAGATTGGTGGGAAATTATTGCCCGTTGGTGTGCATTGGAGTTGCTGTCAGTATACCTGTTTAAATAAAGAAATACCTGTTTGAAATTATAATTAAAACAACATTGACAGCAGTATGATGAAAAACTCACTTGGCTCCCATAGGCTGAAAGTAGTAATGAGCTTTCCCACCACAGACAGTCAAATGCAGTGCTATCAAATATCCTAAGTATAACAAAAAGTAAATGAAATAATTTGTTTTGCAGTTAAACAAGAAGAACTGACCAGAGAGGTGACTGCAGCTTTTGAAAGAGGTACCTGATTTTATGAAGTTTTTAGCTGTCATACATACCTGTCAAGTGCTTAAAACTCCACATTCTCTTACTGGCAAATATTTCCTGAGCTATGGAATAGAAATACTGCATTGACAAGGGTTCTTTGTTAGGTATTTAGAATAAGTACCTCTAAACTGACATTCCTGCTGATTTGGAAAATTCAGGACCTCACATTAAAAGCAAAGTCCAGTACAAAAGTTCCATTCATCTTGCATCTAAATAATCATTTTCAGTGGGAATGTAGATGCTAGGAAATTGTTTGTGTGTTTCCCAGAATGCTGGGAAGGACAGATGTGATCTTAGACATGTTCTGAGGTTTGACACTTGGAGATGTTGTTCTGCAGTCCTGGAGCTGCAGCAGAGCAGTGAGTGCTTTCTTTGCAGTGAAAGCCACAGCTGCTGTGTGGCAAGTAAAGGCCTGTTCAGCACAACATTTGGGACTTCCTGTGCAGTAATCAACATAACTTCATTCTACAGCCAGTGGATAGGCACAGGCTTGAACCATTCCTGAGCTTCTGAAGCTGGGAAAAAACCTTTGTGTTTGTGTGCCAGGTCCAGAATGGTGCACTTTGGTCGGGGTGTGTGTAACTGTAAATATCCCAGTAGTGCTGGCTGTCCCTGCCCATGAGGAGTTACATTCTGTTACTCTGTGCCGTGAGAAGGACTGTGTTGCCTTTGTCTGGAGGTCATAAACCACCCTCCCCTTGAGCAGAAATTGTTTCAATATCAGTTTTGGAATTGGCACTGTCCAGACCAGACTCCTCCTATTTGCATTTTTCAGTTATGTCAGTTGGTCTATTTATACACATTTTAAACAAAAACATTTGTCTTGCCTAGTGGGTAGATCAATACTGCAGCCACTTTACAGGAGTCATTAAAGGGCATTCATCCACATTTCTGTTCCAGATTGTTCATTGTTACAGGTTTTGTGGAACATTTGAAATGTTCCCAAACCATCTGAGGTTAAAACAATGGGCAGCATGGTTTAAATAGAGTCTGAGTCCTTGCAGGTCACAACTCTTGCTACTAAAACAGGTGCTGTCACTGAAGTCTTGAGATCATTTTGAAAGTGCAAATTCACCTCTCCCTCTGTAATCCAGTAATGTTTTATTTCATTTCAGATGATCTTCAAGAGGCCAAGAAGCTGCTAGGAAAAATGAAGTATTTTGCCAACTTAGAAGATAAACTAAAGGCCAAGAAGATCCCTTCCTGATGTTGCCTTGTTAGCTATTCAGAGTTAGTGCTATTTTCAATTAAACAAATGGTTCTATTAGCAAAATCAGACCAAGGGTGTTTGTTTCCTATACTTCCATGAAAAGCTTTAATGCTGAGAGGAGGAAAATAAATAGAAAAGAAATCCCATGCTTGCTGCAGCACTTGGGTAACAGATGGCATTTGGAAATGCTTACAGGCAGGAGAGGCTGCACTGGGTAAGGTCAGCCACTGTCCTGGCAGTGGCAGGTGTGGAAACAAATAACAGAGAGGCACACAAACAAACTCCAGATGTGAGATTTCTTACTTCCTAACATGTGAAGAATTTATTTTAAGTTGAAAAAGAGTCCATGAAAAAATACTGGAGAGGGGGCAGAAGGCTCATTCAGCATGTCCTACAGGCTCCCTGTAAAGGTAAAAAGTATTTAATTCATGTCATCTGTCCTCTCTGCTCCTTCATGCTTTTGGGTATGTAGATCTCAGTCTGATGGGAACTAATCTCTAAAACTAGAAGTTTTACCCTGTTGTATAGTTTAAAATGTTAAGATGATAGGTTAGGGGAAAGAATAAACCAAACTGAAACCCCAGGCAGTCTTTTATCAGGATAAAAGTTTTTATTACAAATACCAGTAATCAGAGAATGCTGTACTTTCGTTGCACAGTACAGTAGTAGGACTGGATGAGGAATGTCTTTAGGGCTTTCAGTTACATAACTGGAAAAACAGAAACTAAATTACACTATTTCTACATAAAATATAATGTTTCAAATATCAGCTATCTGTTCTTGTGTAGGTCTTAACAAGAACTCAGAATATTACACTCAGCAAAGCATTTGGATGTGCCCAATGACCCAAACTCAATACAGGGCTTTGAAATGCAAGAATTGCTGAATTCTCTGCAGAAATCTGCCAGAGGAGCTCTCTGAACATCCTCCCTGACATTTCTGCATCCCTACAGCACCAGGTTACAGCTAAAGATCAAGTTTTCTGTGGATAATACAATATGTTGTCAATAGTATTTCAGCAATACATGTTTTAACAGCAGTGCTAACTTGCCTTTAGTTACACTTCCTCTAAATACACAGGAAGATTTAATAAGCCACTTGATCATGGATTACAAGGTTCGTAATTCTCACTGAAGTTCTGTTGCATTTGTGAAATTATGCAGAAACCTTTAAAAATTCATCTTGGAGTTGTCTTCTTTCATAAAGCTCCGTTTCCTTTTTCCTGGCATTTTTTCCAAAGTTAAGCTTGTTAAATTCCTTTTTGATTTCCAGAAAAGATTTGTTTTTTGTCTCAGGAATTATGAGGAAGATGAAAGCAGCAACAAAGAAGCACTCCAATAAGAACACCACAAAACAATACTGCTTCAGTCCATTCTGAAAATAAATGTGATTGCAACATATTTCAAGAGTAATAATAGTAGGTTTGAGAAAATAAGCTTTTTGTTTCCATTTACACTTAACATTGCTGCTCAGATGTTTTTCTAAAAGGAGTCATTCTACCTAATCTTTACTTGTAACTTTTTAGATAAATGACTGTCAAGGGCTGTGCAATAGGCTTTTATTTTTAAAATAAGATAAACCATTTAAACAGTCAAATGTCACAATCTAGAAGTCAACATTTGCTATCTGTCACATAGTTTAAATAATATGTAATTTAAATTTCTATGAATGTTAATATTTTTCAATGCTGTGCATTACAAAAAACCAACTGTCTTACTGAGAAGCAGAGCTAAACCATGAAGAAAGGACAAGCAGATCCAGATACCCAGATTCATGCTGTTCCTGCACATTTTGCTGTCAAGAACATGTGCTAAAACTAAAAATACAAAGCTGGAGATGAAAGCCTGTCTTGCCTTTCCTCATAATCTGCTTACAGAACTCTCAGTTCAGCAAATTCTCAGGGATGTGACTTATTGGCCACAGGTACCACCTGAACGTTACTTTGCCATAAAAGCACAAGGCACTATTAAAAAATGTTTTGTTTAAATCTCAGTATCTGATTAAGTTTTTCTGCTTTTGATACCTTCTGGTTTTTTTCATCTGAACATGAGCACTGCCCTCCATTGCATTCCTTTACTTTTCATTTATCATGTTATATTGAGGTTTGTGATGTGTAAAAAATACTTTTAAGAGGGACTGAATCTAGTTAAACTCATTTGAGGGGCAGTGTGCATCCTGGTCAAGTGTGAATTATATATACAAGTGTATGTAATGCAATACAAGCAATGGGATGGAAGCTGGGAGCAGAAATGGAAATTGTGCTGTTCATACTCACCACTATGAAGGGGAAGAGCATCCCAACTGTGAAGAAACTAATCCAGCTCACAGTGCCTGCAATCATGTAGGCAGCAGGACGTGAGGACTGTACAAATAACTCAGCTGTCAGGGTGTTTGTTATGCCACCTGGGGATGGTTCAGAAACAGAATTGTGCTGAATGTCCATCTGAGGTACTTCCAATGCTACAAAAGATTGATTGCTTTTGTATATGCCATTAGCTGATCTATTATAATTCCTCGCAGCACAGTTCTGAGGCTGCTGCCCTTGCAGGAAGTTTCCCACTAAAACACAGCCCCATTTCAGCAGCACAGATCAGGGAGCAGGCCCCTTCTGACAAGTGTGGAACCCCTGTGCTCTGAAGGGCAGAGCTAAGCCCTCCCTCATGTGTTGCTCCCCCAGAATTAGCAATGGTAAGCCTCAGCTCTGGGCTACAGGATGGCCTCACTTGGGTTCTGCAAAGGCCTCTTGGCTGTGTGACACCCCGGCCCTCCCAGACCTTCCCCACTCACACACATTCCTGTACAGTACCTGGGCCCAGCCCAAAGCTCAAGATGAAGGCAAACACACACATCATGCTCATGTAAGGCACCCAGGAGTACAGCTCCTGAAACAGAAGACAATGAGAAGGTTTAGTTCAGATTTTGATAATCCAGTTTTAAAGTCTGGCTTAACTGTTATGTTTCCTTCTGTATTTTATTTCAATTGATACCAGCAGTCTTTCACTACTCTTTTACAGCGAATTTATTTAACAGTTCTGCTCCTTCAGAGAAATTAAATAGTGTTCATTCAATAATTTTTACTAAATCATATAATAGAATTCTGTAGTCATAGTGTGGGCTGGCCTGGAAGGGGCTTTAAAGCTCATCCCATCCCACACCTGGCCATGTGCAGGGACACCTTCCACTATCCCAGGTTGCTCCAAGCTCCATCCAACCTGGCCTTGGACATTTCCAGGGATGGGGCAGTCACAGCTTCTCTGGGCACCCTATGCCAGGACCTCAGCACTCTCTATTTCTTCCTTGATGCCTCATCTAACCCTAGTCTCAGTTTAAACCCATTCCCCCTTACTGTGTCACCATGTGCCCTTTTCACTCCTCAGTCACACTGGGTAACAGGAACGAGTCCTTTGCACCTGGTAAGTCAGAGAGAAGGTCAGAACAGTGCACCAGAGAGTCATGAGGAGATAACCCCCAATGATAAGGCATCTTCTTCCCACATAGTCTATCAGTAAACCCTGTGGATAAGATACAACCTTCTGTTAATATACTGATCTCATTTTTACCAATATTCTTCAAGAAGAATCATTACTGTTTGTACTGGCAGGTAGAACAAACTGTTCCTTACACAGGAGAGGGCTGTGAGACACTCACAAACTCCAGTGCCAAGGGTCACATATGGGATTTTTTCTGCCACGATCCCAGCTTGTTCAAAAACGTAAGTTGCATAGAAATAAATCTACAACAGAAAAAAAACCCATACAAACCAAAAAAACCACCAAAAAACAAACAATGAGATTTTTCTGATATTTAAAACATTGTCTGGAAACAAAGTCATGTTCCTACCAAGCATATAGATCAGTGTACTTTATGTTGTGAGTTACTAATTCAACATAAGCAGTAATAACAATCTGTTAAATTCAGGTCTAGTCTAAGTAAACATATTGCTATCGTAAAAGCCAAGAGGATTATTCAACTTACTGAATATGCTTTATATTCTTAAACCAGACACACTCAATAAACTGATCTACCTTTATTTCCTTTTCAGAGGAGGTATCAAGTCATTCTTTAGAAAAGTTTGCATACCAGAAACACAGAAATGAGAAAAAAATTAAAGAGAAACAACAAAATAATGCAAGGATATTCTTTCCTACTTATCCCATTTTGCTGAGCTTCTCTATGTGGATCCTTTGTGTTAATAAATAGATGAAAACCAGGTGGAAATGAAGTAATTATTTAAGCTGTTTGTTCACTCTTACAGCATTAATGCCACTGAGCTGCTGGCCCATGGTCATCACGATGACAGTGATGAGCTGCCATCTCACAGCAGGGTCAGTGAACAACTGCCAGGGCTTCCTGGGCTTCTCCCCCTCCAAGGCAAAGCATTCCCGCTGGATGTCCTCCAGCTCCCTGCGGTACTCTGAGGAACCATGAAATCGCTTCAAAGCTACAAATAGAAAAAAATAATTTACATTTATCTATTACCCACAGCTCCTGGGAAATAAGCTCTTTTCATTATGACCTGGCTTTTGTTAGGATATGAAAAATTTGCGTTGTGACTTGCTTGTTCCTTGATGTTTTCTCAACATTTTTCACTGTGGTGGATTTGGATAATTCTGTGGCATTTTTTTCCTTCTTTTTAGAGGAATATCGGCCTTGAAATATTCACCAGGCAAAATATTTTGTATCTGAACCTTAGACCTTCAAATAGTCTTTTCCTTAAAGGACATTCTTGCCATTTTGATTAATTTTGCTTAAATTCTAGGCAGATATTGAGTCCTTTGTTATGGCCTTGACTGTAATGTTGCCAATGGATGCAGTTAGTGATCTGGAGCAAAGACAGAAAATTCTTCTCCTAAGGTAAATATAATCAGAAGTCATTTGGATCCCAGACTAAAATCTTTACAAATGGTCTTAAAGACTACACTATATACTGTATACTATACTGTATACACTATACTGTGTACACTATACACTATACTGTATACTATATAGCATCAGTTCCTTTAAAATCTTCATGATTAAACATATCTCAAATGACAATCTGTCTCCTTAAGGTCAACAACAGGAGTTTTGATGATCCTGATAATGAACTTTCCACTGAGAGTAATCACCTTGGAGCTTCAGTCAATGACCTTACATTTGAAAGAGGATAATAAAGTTTTGTTCATAACCCATTATGGGCTCCTGAGTTCCTCAATACCTTCTTCCATATAAGCTCACTGGAGGTAAAACATGGGCCAAAAAGCACTAGGATACAACTGTGCTGTGTGGATAAAGATAAAAGGAGAATCTGGAACTCAATATATTCATTGTACCCTCCTGGAGAACAGAAAGTACAGATATTACCTTTGGCACAGCTCAGCTCATCACCTCTGTCAATAAGAAGATATCTGGGACTTTCAGGAAACCATGGAAGGAATAACAGTTGGGCTAATGCTGGAATACAGCTGCTGGATAGCAACAGAGGCCAGTGCTTTTCTCCACCCAATAATTCTCTGTCAGAAATGTGGAAAAAGAAGGCAAAGAAATAGAATAATTTGCTATTGGTTACTATTTAGTGCAGTCTCTGCTCTTGGAATTTCTAAGTTCCAGCTGGATGAAGCCTGAGCAACTTCTGATCACACAGGGGACAAAAGCAGTGCTAGTGCTGTGATACAGAAATGTGAGTCCTTCGCTCTCAAGTTCTTGCCAACATTCACTGTCTCCAGCAAGAAACTGGCAGAAAACGTGAACTCAGCTCAGATGTGGCTGCTTTACTGATGCTGTTGTGGTGACCCATCTGAACTGACACTACTCCCCTGAGGACACAGCACTGATGGCAGTTGTAGGAATAAGGTGACTCAAGATTTTCTTCTCCTGAAGTACCTTGTGTGAATTCTAATGCCGCAATGCCACAAGGAATGTGCTGCAATGGGCTGTAGGAAATTGGAATTCTTTACACAGGAATAACACAAAACAGGAAAAAAACCCCTCAAACATTTCTTACCTCAAACCAATTATTTGTCCTGTCAGAATTCCCCCAGTCAGAAAGATGGAAGTCCCCATGGCCAAGCCACCTCTGAGGTGCTTTGGGGCAAACTCCCCAATATAAAGAGGCTGCACACAGAGCCCAACACCTGCAAGTAAATGGAAAAAACATTTTCCTATCAATAGGAATTGATTTGCAAAGAGTTACTAAAGCAAAACACATACAAAATGGGACCTAATTAATTTCCTATTCATTTAGCTGCCTTCAGATTCCAAGCTAAACTACAGAACATTTTCATCATAAAACCTAAAGGATCAGAAATAACAATAATTTATCATTCACCATAGTTAATTGATAGTAGGAATAAGAAATCATTCACCTGAATTTATGCCAATCAAAAACCTTCCAGCAATCAGTAACTCAAACAATCCTGTAGGAAAACTGATCCCCATTAAAATGGAGGCTAGTATTGCTATAACATTATTCATCAAAAGAGCTCCTTTCCTAAAAAGGAGGAACAAAAATAAAATAAAATAAAATAAAAATAATAATGATACACCACAGAAAAAACAAAAACTGATTAAAACAAACAAAAAACCCCCAGATGTCTCACCCAGACATTATGGAAATCTGTAATAATGTGGGTTTTTAAACAGTTTTCTTTTTCTGATAATGTGGGGAGATAAATGGACTTTATACTGAACAAACATGCTATCCCCTGGAAACCCAGATATCTGATACAGCTGCTTATGTTTTTAAAATGTCTAAACATAAGAATAATGTATAAATATGACAGAAATGCCTGACAAGGTAGGAGTGGGGTTTCTTTATTTAAACAAATTAAGTGCAACAGATGAAGCAGCACGTCCTTACTGGCATAAGGGCTGCGAATGTGTCAGAGGGAAATTCATGTTTCCAACACACTCTGTGTGCATTCCCCTGCTCAGATTTCAGTAAATGTAATGCAAAGACAAAGGTCATAATTCAGGGCTCATCCTTGAAAGCCACATTGGAATAAACTGTAAAATTCTACTAGAAAAATCAGTTTTAAAGTGAAAAAACCTTCACTTTCACCAAGGTACTCTTTTCTCCCACTCTTTTCCCATTTATTTACTTTCTATTCCAGTGGGAAGGTAGGAAAAGCAAACTTGTTTTGATGTCTGCTGCTGCAACTGACCTGCCCAGGCGTATGGCCATGCTGCCTCCAATCAGGGCTCCACAGAGGCCTCCGAGGGAAAAGATGGAAGCAATGACAGACCAAAGAAAAGTCAGCAAATCTGCATTTAGCTCCCTGTGATAACGACTGCTCCAGGTCTCGTTTAAGAACTTGTGTATATGCTGCAGGAGAAAAGAGTGATGAATGTGGAGCATTTTGTACAGTCCTACACACAGCACTACAAATAACTTGCACCCCAATCCTGAAAATTAATTCTAGGGGTTAATTCTAAGAGATATCAGCTGACTGGCAGAATTTTCCTTGACCACAAGGAAGATTTTGTGTTTCCTACTCCCCACACACCTCAAAGGCTGCTGAGCAGCTCTTTGTGCCCGCCTCAGGTGCTGCAGCAGAGGAGAAACACAACCCTGACATGCACTGCCATGAGAGACTCTGAGGTCCTTCTGAACAGGGTGGATGGTTGGCCCTACTGTTTTTAGGAACTTCTCACAGCACAGAGGCTTTGCAACCTAAAAAATTTTATTGTCAGGGGACTTATTCTGACACTTGGTCTAAATCTCCCTGCCTCAGTGTAATCCAAAGAGTCATAGTAAAACCCCTTTTTCAGCTCTAATAATACTCCACCTTCCTTAGAGTATTCATGTGTCAGAACTTTGAGGCTGTTATTCCACATGCTTGGTTTTCTAAAATTTGCCTTTAGAAATACTTGAACTGGCATGTATCTGCAATCAGAGGCTCCTGTTCTTTGCCTGCAAACAAAGACTACAGAAGAATAAACTTCTTGGACTCTCCCTCTGTTCCCAGCATGTGATCTGTTCTTTCACAAACAGCTCCTTTTAAATTTTGTAAAAAGTATACAATGTTGAAGCAAATTCAGTTTTCACAGTTTCCCAAGCAAATAAATTAGCTGGTAGCAAAAAACTGATACCCACCACTTTCACAAGAACATTTGCTCAGATCCTTGAGTCATCCACAAAATATGCAGAATCCTGGAGGCTACAGCAAAGAACGCTCAAGTAACAAGTGAAAATATTTACAAGATACTCAGCCACTACAGATGGAACATTTTAATTCCCTAAGGAGATCTTTTTCTTTGTGAAGGACACCTGTAAATAGTAACTATGCTTTCTCCCTGTGATAGAAAGAATGGGAATTGCTCAAAGCTGTGTCAGGGGAGGTTTAAATTTGACATTTGGAGAAACAGTGGTGATATCCTAGAGAAAGGGTGGTCAAGCAGAAGAACAGGCTTCCCAGACAAGTCAATGCTCCAGGGGCATTTGGACAGTGCTGTTAATACACTTAACTTTTGGTCAGCCATGAAGTGATCAGGTAGTTGGACTAGATGGTCATTGTAGGTCCCTTCCAACTGAAAATGTTCTGGTCTATTCTACCCTTAGTGCTCTGGGTGATTTTAGTAACCAAAAAATATATAACTTAGTTAATCCTTCTAATAATAAAGGTATTTATGTAGCCTATTTGGCACTTTTGTCTGACACAGAATAGCTCTGACAGGAGGTACTCACAGACAAATGCACATGAAACCACCTAGGAAATGAACAAGATTCCTTCATAAGAGAGGAAGAAGTGCTTCAGTTCCCTCTGTGATCACAGCAAAAGCACGATTGGCCTCGTGGCCGAGTTCAGAGAGGAAACAGCCCAGTGAACAAAAGATGAGCTTTTACCTGAGTGGGTGCATTGATAATAGAGACATTGTACCCATACTGAAAGGTGCCTCCAATTCCAACAGCACAAACAGCCAGGAACAACGTCCAGCTGGGGAGCTGGGGAGCAAAAGAAAATCAAGACACTTCAGTGATCAAATTTCCCCTTCCTTCATATATAAAGGCTGTACATATTTCTTTTAATAAACTTCTATTCCCTGAATTTCTCATTGTTAGGTATGTAGACTAATTCTTCATCATTCTCATTCTTGGACCAGTTCCCAGAAATGCTGCGTTATTCCCGATATTGTACTGTATTCTGACAGAGCTGTGTCCTCCCTAAAGATAATTCATCAACACTTCCTTCTTCCCTCCCTCCCTGAAATTTGCCAGTTGAAATTGGTCTTATTAAAGTAAAATCCAATTAACATTTCCTTACAGTTTCCAAGAATAAAAAGTGTTTCTCTGAATGTCAACCAAAGCAATGAATTAAGAGTTATAACTAAGGGCTGCAGTGAGTATGGTAGAAAAAACCAAAATTGATGTGGTAAATACTGGCACTGCGCACTCAGACCCTTATAGTAACTAAGTACTGTAAACCTATTTTGTGTGTTTTATGGGTACAGCCAGGAATCTAGAAGGAACAGAAAATAAACAAACAAACAACACAAAATAATGAACATACATCATATAACTTAGGTTTTATTATGACAGATCTTTCGTTCTTCCTGCCCAAATCAGCTGGGCTCATGACATTGGTATGCTGTCTGCTGTCTGACATTGGAGTTAGGAGAGAGCACAGATAACAGCCTCATGTGTTCTGAACTCCTGACAGTTTATAAGGGCGTTCACTTCATTCCGAAAACATGACACAAACAAAATTCTATTTGTATTCAATGTAAAACACCAGAATCAGAAAGCTGCTTTTACACCTTCCACTTTCTCACACAGCCAGGTGTCCAAGGAAAGCACAAAATCTTACAAGTCTAATCACTTAAAGTATTTATATTCAAAAGCTAATATGAAATTCCCACACATTTTACATCCGTACACCATTGCTAAAACCACAACCTCTGCAGGATCCACCTTCAGGATGGTTCTGCTTACCTTGCAGGGCGAGCTAGACCCTCTGAGCAGGGGCTGGTGCTCCATTCTGAGCATGGGCCGAATTAGATTTCCTTTGCAAAATTTAATAAACTATGTTACAGAAAAAAAAGAAGCGCCAAAGAACTTAAGTTACTAATGTATTAAGACACAGCTTTACTTTTTGTTGTCGTTTTGTTTGATTGGTTTTGGATTTTTTCTCCCAGCCCATTGGGACTCTCCTGAAGGGTTCCGAACTTTGTGACAGGGATATCTAACTTCGATAAAGCCTCACAGCAGCCTCAGGGAGCTTTCCCACCTCTTACACTGAGTACATGCACTGTCCTTCTCTAACCCCGCACAGAACCCGCAGCCTCCCGC